GCTGCCTATCATACGAGGAGATGTGAATCTCTATTTTTGTTATTTTGCTTAAGGGGATCTTTGAGTGTTTCTTTTTGTTGACTGAAAATTCTTGGGTTGTGTTGTTCCCCTAACTTGTTCTTTGCAAACAACACTTATAGTTTGTTTTTCCTTTTTCTCTGTACTATTTACTTGAATATCAAATGTTGGCAATTTGTTTTGATTTGGTTAAGTAGCTGTTGTGTGGAAAGATATAATGTGTTTCTTTTGTAGGCAATCGACAATCCCTCATTTAAAAGGAGATTGTTGGAAGGTTTCCAAATCAAAATTGCTTAATTTCAGCTAAAGGTTACAAATCAAGAAGTTCCCAAATCAATCAAATCACCATCGACATGGACCTACCATTTTGGGGACGAATTTAAAAGCAACGGTCAATTCAGTGGCTCTATTTAAAGGCTCTTCCTTTTTTTTTTTTTTGTCGTAAATAACTTTTTAATTGGGAGTGTGTTTACACCTAAAATATTTTTGGCCTAAATTCGATGCTGCGGGTAAAAAACGGTGTCGTTTGGAGTTGAGCGGTGTCGCGGAGAGTTAAAACTGTACCGCGAAACAGAAAAGCGGTACCGCAAGGAAGCTCAGCGGTACCGCGACACAGACAACGGCACCGCCGGAAAATAAGATGGGGCCGCGCGTTTAGTTGGTGTTGGAGAAGGAGTTTTGTTTACAATTAATTAATATTTTTATTCCTTGTTGGAAGGGGAAAATCGGTACCGCATGGAGATAAGCGGCATCGCGGAGAGTTAAAACGGTGCCGCGGATTTAAAAACGATGCCGCGAGAGCCTGGTAAGCGGTACCGATTAAATAAATAAAAAACCATATTGGGTAAGTGACCAAAATTCGCCAGCCCAATGCGAGTGCAGACTCGCGGCGGTTCCATGAATTGATATTTTTTTTGGTTATGTTAGCGGTAGAGGTGGCAATTGGGATCCAAATCCATGAATCCAATCCAATCCATCCACCAAATTATCCACCTAATCCAATCCATTTAAATCCAATCCATTTGATCCAAATCCAATTGGATTGGTGGATTCATGGATCAATCCATGGATCCAAATGGCAAATTATGATTTGGTACCTATATTTTTTATATTTTACATTTTGGTACCTAAAATTTATATTTTTCTACGAAAAATATCATTGGAAAATTACATTTTGGTACCTAAAATTTTTCATTATGACATTTTAGTACCAAAACTTTTCAAATTTTACATTTTGGTCCAAGCCTTAGATGTCATTTGGATTTATGGATCAATCCACCAATCCATTTGATCCAATCCATGAATCCACCAATCCATTGGACCCAATCCATTTGATCCATGGATCCACCAATCCAATCCATGAATCCACGAATCCGATCCAATTGCCACCTCTAGTTAGCGGTGTCGTTTAATTAAAAACGGTAACGCGAGCAAGCCCAACGGTACCGCTGTACTAGCAAACGACAGTGTTTAAATATTTAAAAAATGTCGCGGAAAAAAAACAAACGGAGCTGTTTGGAGAAGAAAACGACACCGCGGAGCTTGAAAACGATATCGCATGAGGAATCAGCAATACCGCGGTGGTGGATAAAGCCGCGAGCTAAACAACATTGCGGTGGAGAGAGATGTCGCGGTCGCGAATCTAGAGGCATTGCTAGTGCGACAATGCCGCGAAGTTCAATGATGCCGCAAAGCCAACATCGTGGAGTTCAACGAAGGTCATCGACTTTGTGTGGTCAACGACGCCGAGAGATCAACAATCTAGCGGCGAGTACGCAGTGACGAGGGTGAAACAACAATGTTGTTTTAATCGATGGCGGTATCGTGATTCGAACCATGGTACAAAGTTGATGTGTGTGCACGTGACTTTTACACAAAGCAGAAAGAGGAGATCAAGGCAGTTGAGACACGTGGGATTTCAGGACGGAGCAGTTGAGGAAGCAGTTCCACAGAGCGTGAAGACTACGAAGATGCTTTCGAATAAAGGCAACAGAGCAAGGAGAGAGGAAGACAACCAAAAAATCAACACAGATCAACTCTGTTCAAACTTTACCTTTTTTCTGTAACTCCCTCGCGGAGCTCTCCTTCCAGGAAGGATCTCCATAGTTGGTAGAAGTAGTCGTAGTCGCGGAGCTCTCCACAGGAATCTCCATAGGAGTAGCGGTAGCGTAGATTCCCCAAAACTCAAACACCCTCGTTCGAACGTAGTTTGGAGAGGTGCGAACCGTAGTAACAGTCGTTCTTGGTTAGAAGTCAGAGGTGCATCGATCAAATCAACACCGCCTGGCGGTGGATATTTGACGGTCACGTTGATTTTACCATTTAGAGGTGCATCGATCAAATCAACGACGCCGACATTCGGCGGCGGATATTTGACGGTCGTCTCGATTTCAGCAATCGGCGGTGCATTCGATCAAACGGCACCGCAAGAGTTTCCATCGCGAAACATCGAATCAACATCGCCGGAAACGAATTCGGCACCGGCGGTGGCATTTGGTTTTTCCGAGGAAACAGAGTGGTAAAGGGCCCGTGATTACAAAGTGTATTATGAGATTAGAGGTAGAGTTTCTAAATTCTGATAGATAGCAACATGTCAGATTTGTGATTTGGGTTTTAGTTTTTCTGTTCGTTTTATTTGGATTTTACATCTTTCTTGTTTGATAGAAGAAAATCAATAACAGAGTCTCATAGAACCGAGGGTACTGATTCTGTGACGTGGAGTAACCAGCTTTGGTGAATCACGTTAAAAATCTTGTGTGCCTTCTCCTTCCTGCATCTCTATACTTTCCTTATCGTGCTATTTGTTTGTATTTCCGGCAAACCCAGAGACTTGTGTCACTAGCTAAGTCAGAAGTCACTTAAAGCAGAAGAGTTATGTTACCCGGGCAATTACAATTACAAAGCCTTCTATCAAATACTCATTGTACTAGTTGTTACCGGTTTTCATAACTAGCTAGTATATATATGAGTGATTCTATTGTACATTGTGTAAAATTGAGGGTATGACATACCTTGAGTAAGAAAATTATATATGTACCCTGAATTGACCTAAAATTGGCATCTTGTATTATTCCCAAACCCATAAAGATTAAAATTTAGGCCTTAATTCTAAAAATCCCATACACTAAGATCAATTTAATTATAAACAAAAATAGACGGTTATGATTCGTCAAAATATATGCAACAAATTACATGCACAATCTTAGGGGTTAGGATCTATGATTTAGAGAACTAAGAACTAGGGTTCACTCATCAAGAGTTAGGGTATAGTATCATGCCCAAAATTAAGATTAATTCGAGATCTAGATATCAGTTTCTTACTCACGGTATGTCGTGCCCTAAATTTTACCCAATGTACGATAGAAACCACTATATATATATAACAGGGACTTACATTTGAAGCTGGATCAAACCTGGGTTTTGAAGTAGGGGAATGATAACTTATGAGCTTTTTGCTTAATGGATTTTAAAAAGGAAAGTTTTAGACAAATCTAGTGTTATGAAACCATGGATTTATAATGGAATTGGTTCATTATGGATTTGGACCAAAACATTGTTTGCTTGTTGGATTTTATGATGGATTTTGCTGAATTAGATTTGTGAGTACGAAATCAATTGACCTTATTACTCCTTTTATTTTTTAACTAACCCCATGATAGGAATGACAACGGGTCGGGTCGAGGGCGGATAGTGCATATCCGTTACCTTACCCAAAGTAGTTCGTGTTTTACCCGTACCCATACCCACATCAGAATTGGATAAAAAATCCAAACCATGCCCATATACTCGTTCGGGTTTTGGGTATCCACGGTTACCCAAAGTAGTTCGTGTTTTACCCGTACTCATACTCACATTACGTAAGACGAAAAGTACAGCAATAATTCACTATAATGAAGAAAATTAGTAAAAATAACACAATTTCATAAAAATAGTATATATATATATATATGCTAAATATAAAAAAAATTAGATAAAAAAATTAATATGTATAAACAAAATACATATGCATGTGTATAATCGGTCGGGTTAGATAGTGAGTAAATCATGCCCACCCATTACCCGCAATATTCGAATTCGGGTTTTACCCGTACCTAGTAAAAGTCCTTCAGATTCGAGTGTTACCCTAACCAATTAAATCAAATTCGGACGGATATTCACGATTACAGATATTGTTGTCATACCTTCCCATGACAAAAATAATCAGCTCACCTACTGCCTGCGCCTGATTCTTGCTCATTCTAATTTTACCAATCACGATAACAAAGGTTAATCAACTATAATGTTTAGAGGGTTCTATGGCCCTTTAGAAAACGCCGTTTTTGCTAAACTCTGTTTCGTGGGGTTTCCTTCTAATTGTCATCACGTCTCGATTCACCATAACCGTACAAGCTTCCTTTCCCACAATGTACATCGACACTGGGGCAATGTCAATGGTGAATAGTGGCGCCGAAATGGTAGGATCTGGTGACTCTCGCTCTATCTTTCTCAATTGAGATCGGACCCAAGAACTACTTTTCTTGCTTCGTGTTTTGATATTCGACTTTGGAGAAAAAGAAGTTAAGGATTAAACAGAAAATTGAGAATTAAAAATAGATGGGTATAAGCTAATAAATACCATCATCCCACAATTTGAACCCTCCATGTCCATGGATCCCACAAATTTTGCACCACCAATACTTTCAAACAAACAATGAATTCTTATCAAGTTCACGATACTTAAGATTTACTACCTAAATCCATCGAACAAACACCCCCTTAATTCTTGCGATTTTTAAATATTTGCTCAATATGTAAATATACATATATTGTAATCTCATATTAAATATTGAAGATTGGGGGTGGAAATCTAGTTTGATAAACCCAAACCAAATGAAACCGAGCAATCTGTCAGGGAAACAGTATGGAGAAACCCAAACCAATCGATTTTCAGTCTTTCATACTGCATTGAGAAATGAGAACCCAGGGTCTTGCTTCGCTACAAAATGGCTCAAGTGCTTCTGATCCCTATTGCTAAACAGGTCCTTGGCAAAGTAACCAACTTGGCATCGGTGGAGATTGGACTGTTGTGGAACTTCAATGGGGAGCTAGAGAAGCTGAAGGACACGGTCTCCACTATCCAGGCCGTGCTCCTTGACGCCGAGGAGAAGCAGGCCCACAACCATCAAGTCAAAGATTGGCTCGAGAAGCTGTCCGATGCAATGTATGATGCCGATGATCTGCTCGATGATGTCTCCATCGAGGCTGCACGAGCAAAAGATACTGCAGATGATGATGGCCGGAGAAGAACAGGGGCAACTTGCTGGAGCTTGGTAAGATTTCTGGTCTCCTTTCTTCCGAAGCAATTGCTTTATACGCTTAAGATGGCTCGTGGTCTTAAGGCAATTCGGGAGAAGCTCGATATGATATCGAAAGATAAGGATAATTTCAAGTTGGAAGTTCGTACTGAGGAAGCTCTTGTTTTGTGTCGGGAGACGGATTCTTGTCCTCTCACAATTGTTATTGGGAAAGAAGTTGAAAAAAGGAGAATCATTCAGCTATTGCTGAATTCCAATTGTGAGGACAGCAGCTTTGTTGTCCCTATTGTTGGAATAGGCGGATTGGGAAAGACCATGCTCACTCAGCTCGTTTATTGTGATGATCAAGTGAAGGCACACTTTGAGATAAGAGTGTGGGTGTATGTTTCACAGAAGTTTGATATAAAAGGGATTCTGGGGATGATATTGCAATCCATCAGTCGTGAAAGCCAACCAGATCTTGCATTGGATGTTCTAAAAGATAAGATCCAAGAGGAAATTTGTGGGAGAAGGTTCCTGTTTGTTTTGGATGATGTTTGGGAGGAAAACGTTGAAAGTTGGGAAGCTTTAGGAAAATATTTGAAGGTTGGTGGCTCTGGGAGCAGAGTGTTGGTGACCACTCGGTCAAAAGAAGTGGCTGAGATCAGTAGCAGAATTTTGAAACTGGGAACAAGAAGTAGTATGATGGAGTCCCCCTATTTCCTGGAAGGTTTGTCACTTGATGAATCATGGAGTTTGATGGTAGAAAAGGCCCTTCATGGAAAAGTTCCTCAAAACCCGAATGTAGAAAGAACTGGGAAAGAGATACTAAGGAAATGTTGTGGAGTGCCCCTTGCTGTAAGTACAATAGCTGGTCTATTACGTTCCAAAGATCCGGAGACTGAATGGTCATTGTTTTCAGAGAATGATTTGACGAGCATTTCTGAAGAAAAGAATCTTACCATGTCAACCCTCCGACTAAGTTTCAATCATCTTCCTTCTCATCTGAAACGTTGCTTTACTTATTGCAAGTTGTTTCCAAAGGGTTGTAAACTGTATGTTCAACCTTTAGTACAACTTTGGATAGCACAAGGATATATCGAATCGGGAGATGAAGGTTCAGAAGAAATGGGTTTGCATTGTTTCAAAATGTTATGGTGGAGGTCGTTTTTCCAGGAGGTGAAGATGGATAAATTGGGCAATATAGAAACTTGCAAGATACACGATTTGGTTCATGATTTAGCCTCGTCATTAACAGGAGCAAAAATCCTCAAAATTTCAGATTCAAGTGCTCCGAAGAACATATCTTCAAAAACTCGTCATTTGGCTGTGATGCAGGGAACTAGAGTTGGTGCTGGTTATATACGAGAGGCAAGCAAGTCGAGAACATTTATGTGTCATATGCCAATTGAAAAATCAAGAAAGATCATCCGCTACTTCAGATTTTTGCGGGTGTTGGTAATATCATTAGAAAGAGATTTGCTGTATTGGCGGAGTCCGTTGAAGCTGGAAGAAGACTCGTGGCTCCTCCGTGGTCATAACAGACAAGATTCTGAACTGTTCGATTGTATTGGTGAGTTGAAGCATTTAAGATTTCTTCGTTTCTCCTGCCAACAAATGACAAAGCTTCCCGATTCTGTTACTAACCTTCTTACAATGCAAGTGCTTGACCTCTCATTATGTAGTCACCTCACAGAATTACCTAGGGATATCAGAAAGCTAGTTAATTTGAAGCATTTGTACCTTGATCCTTCTGTGAAGTTGACTCATATGCCTAAGGGGATTGGGGAATTAGCGTCCCTTCAGACGTTAAAAAAGTTTGTGGTTGGCACTAGGACCAGTGGAGATGTTGGGGGGCTGAATGAGTTGAACGGGTTAATTGCTTTACGTGGGGAGCTCACCATTGAAAGCTTGACTAATGCTGTACCTGTGGGTATTTATATCTTGAAGAAGCAGTTATGTCTTAAGTCTTTGGTTTTGAAATGGAATGAACTGCATTACAGTTGCTACTCTTCTTCTACTAATAAAGATGAAGAGATCCTGGAAAAGCTCTGCCCACACCCTAATCTAAAAAAGTTGGAGATACACCATTACGGAGGCTTAAAGCTTCCCAACTGGTTGTCCATCACGAATCTGGTGGAGATATCATTAGCAGGTTGCTGGAGTTGTGCGTATCTTCCATCATTGCATAAACTCCCATCTCTAAAGAAGCTCCACATTCTGAATTGTCCGAATCTAAAGGGCATTAATATAGAGAACGCGGAAGAGGAGTGGCCATGTTTCCCATGTCTTTCTCACTTGGAAATACTCAACTGCCCAAACCTGACTTGCATGCCTCTCTTCCCAACCATTGAACAAAAATTGTTCCTGCGGAGAACCAGCTCACAAGCATTGGTCCGGACAATGATAAAGAAGGTAGCCCCCGATACAGAGGAACGTATGTCCTCTTCCTATACTTGGCCTCCACTCTCCAAGTTGACACATTTGAGACTCGAAGGGATTGATGACTTGGAATCTCTGCCAGAAGAAGGCATGCACAACCTCACTTCCCTTCAGGAGCTTCTTATTTTCGAATGCCCGAGGCTAGCATCTTTGCCTCAAGCGGTGAAACACCTCCCCTCCTTACAAACATCAAACATTCGGGGATGTCCTCAGTTGTCAACAGAAAGATGCAGTGAGGGCGAGGAAGAAGATATCATCAGTTTGGACTTCCAGAAAACCTCCATGGGTTCAGGTATCATTTTGCCTGAAACGGTGCTGCAGCCTGCAGCACATTCATCATCGCATTTTTATTAGTATTTTCTTATCATATGCCAAAATTCCTAACCTCAGTTGTCAACAGAAAGATGCAGTGAGGACGTGGAAGAAGATATCATCAGTTTGGACTTCCAGAAAACCTCCATGGGTTCAGGTATCATTTTGCCTGAAACGGTGCTGCAGCCTGCAGCACATTCATCATCGCATTTTTATTAGTATTTTCTTATCATATGCCAAAAGTCCTAACGAAACTTTTTCGGTCACTTCTCTGTGTTGTGTTTTGGGTTACAGCTTATCCATATTGTCCAAATTGTTCTGGGCAAATTACCAAGAAAGTAATATTGAGGAGGAGGATTCCTAGGCAGCTGGGCATGTTTCCTTAGTAGCTGCTCTCAAATTGGGTATGACTCTAGCTCAACTCGACACCTCTTTGCTCATTTTACAACTTTTTATACGCAGTGTTAAGGACTGAACCTTGAATATGGCTTGAAGAAGGTGTTGCTAGTAGGAAAGAATCTGAATAAGCAACGTCGTTTGATTGACTTGAAGACTGAAGGAGAACAAAGTGCAGTTGTGTCGTTTTAGTGTCACTTGGTCAATTTTGTTTTAGTCTATATGCTTGATTATTGTTTGAGTCTATCGTGTTAAAAAGTTTACAGCTCGAATAAGAGTCAATTTAAGAAGTGGTTAGTAATGGTAACTGAAGTCCAGGAGCAATGACGTTAGAGTCTGTTAGGTGTGGCCGAGATCAAAGGCTGAAACCTGTATTTATAGTATTTTCTCATCAGTTCAAAAATTGTCAGTTTGCAGATATTTGGCTTCACACGTAGATGAGCAGAAGTGTTGGAATAGAAGAGGGCTGATCAATTTCTTCTTAACCATTCCTTTACTAGGATGGTTGATTGTTTTAAACAGACAAGGAGGACCTTCTGCTACACTTGAACTGATGTGTGAAAGCTAGAGAGGGCCATTATAATTTAAATAATTTCTTATCCATTCATCATTGCATTTTAATTAAGAATTGGCCCGCGCTTTGCGGCGGGTAATGTTGGGCATCGGTCAATTTAATTTAGAATTGGGTTGATGAAGAATTCAAGATAAACCGAGCCAAAATCAAAAATTAAAATTAAAGACCATTGATATAAGCCTCATGAGTCATGACTTTGCTTCTATGTATTTTAGAAAACTTTAAGATGATTTGTTTTTGCGTAAAAACTAATTATTAGCCAAATGTTTTCCACATTCTTTTTTATTAGAGAAACCTATTGAATTACTAATAATTAGTCAAATCTTTTATCATGCTTAAAAATATTAGTCATTTTTTACGTTATCGTTAATAATTTTGTAATTGTTCTTTTAGTTAAAATACTAAAGTATTGGAATGTTGACGTCCATGTATCTCTTCTAAGTCAGTATCATATTGTCAAATCAATATTATTAATAAAATTACTAATTAAAAATTACCGTTTAACTAATTATTAGTAATTCAATAAATTTTACTAATAAAACATACGAAAATATTTGACTAATTAATTAATGTACTATTATCAGCCCTTTATTTCCCATCACAAATCATCCATTATAAAAGAATACCGAATATATGTTTGGTCTCTGATGTCTTTGGCTCTTTGCCTTCCATTATCCACAAATATCCACCAAAGATTACCCATTGCAAGCCACGTAGAGTACTCCCGCCTTAACACGTGGATATATAAACATCAAATTTGTACTTAGCCTCATAAACTTCCCTTCCCGTATCCATTATCTCTTCAATTTATCACTGTTTTGTATCTTTAGTGATCACAAATCCTCATCGTAATTCAATCAGAAGGCCATTCTTCTCAATTATTTTTGTTTTTAAACCGAAAAACTCCCTTGCATTGCATGCGGTCTCTGATACTTTAGAAGGAAGATAATATTAATTAGCTGGGTATGATGCGAGTTGGGTTCCGCAACCTCTGTTTTGAATAGAGCTTTGAGATGGGATCGGAGCACTGATTTTCTATTAACCAAGAACGGAGTGATCAAGTAAGCTTCCATTCCTCGATTGTAGCATAGCTTCAATCGTCACCAGTCATGCGTGGCGATTCTAGCCTGATTTGGGTTGACAGAGGATTAGATGCAATTCTCCTCTGCTGTTCTTTGCATGTACCCCATTCCGTCGAGATTGAAAGGAAACGAACTTTCCCCCATTCCTCTGTGTTATTTGCATACACCCTCTGAGTGCTTCGACTTCCCGATCACTTAGAGTTAATGGATTCCGTTGAGTACTTCGATTTCCAGACAACTTAGAATCGGTCGATTGCGAATTTGTGCGATTGCTCCGCTGTCGTTCAGCTTGACGGACCAGGAACGCCATGAGCGGAAAACTGGGCTAGCCGTCAGGAGATCCACGGAGGGAAATAAAGGAGTGGGGAGGGGGATGAACAGAAAACTGGGCAAGCCGTCAGCGGATCGACGGAGGGGCAAAAGGGGTGGAAAGAACGGGAGTTCGATGAAATCGAACTTAAAACGACGAATTGAAAAATGGGGGTGCAGCAAACCTACGGTAGACCCGCCCGTATCTGCCCAGACCCCTTAAGTATGCTTGCGGCTTTATTATAGTAATTTCTTATCTTGGACAAAGTTTTAAAAAAATATTCCTTGGTTAATTCTTTTTTTTTTTTTTTTTTTGAGGGATTCTTTGCTCAATTCTCTGTGTTGGGTTTTGGGTTACAGGCTTACAGCTCCTCTATATATGTTATCCAAACTGTTCCGGAGATTCAGGAGATGATTCCTTGATAGCTGCTCTTGAGTTGGGTATGATTCTCTTGGTTCATGTTTCACCTTCTTGTATGTTGACGGTCAGAAGAAGTGTTGGAATAGAAGATGGTTCATGAATTGTTTCTGTAAAAACATTAATTAAACTACTTATAGCTGTGGTCTTAAACCAATATATTTCCTGGTTGTTTGTTGATTGTTTTACTTAAGCCACGATGAACGTCGTGTTGCCTGAAAGATAGGGATTTGAATTTGACGAACGTAATGTCAAGTTGGGCAATAGATTTTGTGCCATCTTGTACACCATCCTTCAAAGGTAATCTACATGGTCAGACAAGGGTTGATACTGTTGTTATTAACTTATTATAGATTCGGATAACACACGAGATCTTTCGACGAACAAAGACGCTCTGATACCATGTTACGACGATGTTCCGACGACTGTACAGAACTTGGACATCTGATACCGGACACAACACGACTCTGACGCTGCCTGAGCCCAGGCCGAGTCCAGACAGTAGCCGCGAATGACGTGGCTCGCATTCCGCGCGCACTCCATGCACTGAAGATCGTCGAGGCCATCGTGTGCGCAACCCGCGTACATGAAGAATGCGGTCCCCTCTTGGCTGTTACCGATGCGGTAAGTCCTGCTCTCTTCGCAGGCGTCGAAGGAAGACGATTGAAGCGCCTCGGCCAGCTTATCCTCGGCATAGGTCAGCACGTCAGCTTGCAGGTTGGGCGACGGTGGCAGCGTTTGGTTGCTGCAAGCAAAGTTGTAAAGCCCGTTCTGCCCACCAGCAACGCACACTTGATCTTTCGGATCAGCTTAGCTGGTGGCAAAGAGGATGGTCATGGTCGTTAGCATGAGATCAAGTCGCACCAGAATTGATATTGACGCCATTTTTTTCACTTCTTTCTTTCTGATGCGAACAATGTGCATGGTGATATGGGTTTATATATGTAGTAATGTAGAAGCCGCACGGCCGTGGCACCATGGCGATAGACGTTGAGAAGGGAAAGGACGGGATATGGAGGGAAAGCCCGAGGGTTTTTTGTTTGTAAACAATGCAAGTAAGACTTCCGTGACATGTTCTTCTTTCCCCTTTTGTTCACTGGTGGATGTCTTTTGATCGTTGTTATTCTGCTGAGTTTATTCGTTTTCGATGGGTTATAGGCACTTTGTATAGTAGTGACGAGTGGAACTAGAAGTTTGGCATTGGTATTTGTAATACACCCGCGGATAGCGTATTCGATTTGTCGGGACTATAATGTTATTGGCAGTGGCGTAGTTAGAATTTTGTGTAAAGTGTGTCCAAATCTTTTTTTAATATTGTAAGCATAATTTTAACCATTAGCTGTGTCCTACAATATGTTCTCATATTTTGAAAAGCTTTTAAGATGTATTTCATATGATATCAATCTCAGAATATCATAACAAATAATCATTCGTGATTTTTTCTCTCATTAAATTTCAGAGAGTGTTTTTTCATGTCGCTCATTGCTGGTGTCCTTTTAACACTTGCAGTGGAGATTTAGGTAGATTAAATTTCAGAGAGTGCTTTTTCATGTCGCTCATTGCTGGTGTCCTTTTAACACTTGCAGTGGAGATTTAGGTAGCAACTACACGAACTTACTTCTTTCAATGATCTTGATTCTAAAAATACTCAACAATTCTAAAAATACTCAATAATCTAGTTAAAGTTCAAACCGAAAAAATTATTTTATCAAAAACTCATTATTAGGTAAAGAAACTAACGGGTTTCACCAAGAGGAGGTTTTGGTGATAGATGATGAATAAATTAAAAATTTATAAGCTGAAGAATAAAGTTGTATTTTGTTCTCATATTATTTATGTAGAAACTAGAATGTATTATATATAAGGATGACAACTAAATTTATCATTTAATTATTGTTTGTTGGTAGAAATTTTGACTAGGTTTAGATAAAAAAAAATCTAGACACTTAATTATTGTATTTATAAGTACTTATTTTCTCCAGATCCAAGTTGGGTCTTGGGACTCACCTTGGTATGCTTTGATTCTAGCACTGATTATCTAATGTTGAATAGCTTTATTAAATAAGATTTTTGGATGTTATTCCTTATTCTGATTGATATATACTGAAATATTGAATAATACTATACATGCAACAGACAGATAAATGTATAATTACATTCGAAATGCTGTTACATACATATTATGTTTCCTACATGCATTGTCCATTTTCGGCTTTGACAATAATAAGCTACAAAATGCGTCAACTCATTTCTCAAGGTTCCT